TATATATATATATATATATATATATATATATATATATATATATATATGAAATGTAAAAATACAATGGTAAATACATTTGCAGTACTATCTTTTCTCATCCATATTTTTATGTTCCAAAAGATAAAGAGGTCACTAAAGGGCCACCCTTTTGTTACCTTTAGTTCTACCAAAAGATTTGTAAAACCTTAGGATATCTAGAAGAAGAAGACAAAAAAAGCTTTATAAATGTTTTAAGGGAGGACCTTCATTTTGTACACTAACTCTGCTTCTACCACTGAAGAAGAGTTGTTCGTACAGAACAGTCTTGGCAGAGCTGCATACAAAAAGTAAAATATAATTTATACTCAATATTTTGTCTTTATGCAAACTCTGTATAAAGTGTTCAAAGCCATTTTGCTCTGGCATGCGTCTTTGTAGTGTGACAGATTGTGTTCCCATCATCTTTCTGTTTTCTCCCGACTCAACCCCACTCCCCCCTGCCCTAATAATAGTAATAATCACTTTAACATCACTCTTATTTCTCTTCCTCTGTTGCCTCTCTGTCTGTGGCTCTGGCAGTGTTTATATCCAAGGGCTCGTGGCTAGCTGAGGTTGTTTTGTGGTATCGCACAGTGCAAACCCATGTGAAGCCCCATGTTCACACATCTGTTGCCCATATTGTACCCTAGAGCATAATGGCTCTCCACTCCTGTCAGTGTTTATCTGCTATTGTGTTTGTGAAACCAAAATGCTGGGGCTCTCCTGGCACCTGAGATTCTGAAGGGAGTCAGCTCCCAAATACTAGGCAGAGTTGTCCATGGCCAGAGTACACTTCTCTCAGTCTTAGTATTTTGATTCAGTTTATGGTGCAACACCGAACATCACCACCACCATCATCATTTTTTCAGTCGATATAATCAATATTTCTCTTAAACACGTGACAGATCCCATCTGTTTATACCCCACTTCCATTGATTTAATAAAATTGTATTTTGTAAGCTCAGGAAAGTCTCTTTAGTGTAGTATATTTTAGTACTGCATTTTTTTTTTTTCTTCTCCCTCTTCATCTTTTTTCGTCTTTCACAACATGCAAAAACGTCCATAATGTGGTTTTCTGGAAAACGGTTATAATAATGTTTAGTTTTTTGTTGTTGTTTTTGGGTGTGGATTGTGGAACTTGTTAGGGTTAAGTTTCCATATGTGTATTTTAGGTCAATTTTAGTTGTGACAAAAGATTATCCTCTTCTGGTATACGTTGTTTTCCAAATGATTGAAACTAACCAAATACTGTATGTTTTATGACTTTTTCCAGTCATGCATACTTTGATCTGATTATCTACTTATTACTCTTTTGTTTTCGTTTTCTAAGAAGCTTGTGTTTCCATCCACATCCATCACCTAATCTTTTTCTGCTTTGATGTGGTTGGGTCACAAAAGCAACAAGTGGAGAAGGGAAACCCAGACATCCCTCTCCCTAATGACACTGTCCAACTCCTCCTGGAGGATCCCAAGGTGTTTCCAGACCAGGGACGTTATGTAATCTTTTAGCAAGTTTGGGATTTTGCTGAGGTGAGACATGTTAAGAAAACCTATAAAGAGATGTGCCTGGAAAGCATTTCAAACAAATGTCCAACCTACCTTTTTAGATTCATTTTGATATAGAGGAGCAGCGGCTCTATTTTGAGCTCCTCTAGATGACAGAGCTCTTTACCCTATCTCTATTTTATTTATTTATTATTTATTAACCTTTATTTTACCAGGTCAAGTCCATTCAGATCACCACAATCTATTTTGCAAGGGGGCCTGAGCATGAAGGCAGCCTAAACGTGCAAGTTTGTGGACTGTGTGAGGGAACTGGCGTACCCATTTAAAACCCACAGAAACATGAAGAAAACATGCAAACCCCATACAGAAAGTCCCCAGGTCCAAACCGAGGTTTGAACCAAAGACTTTCTTGCTGTGAGGCAACAGTGATGAGCACGAAGCTGTCATGCTGCCAAAGGCCAAGTCTGAATCAAGTCAGCCCCTATGACTGAAGTTAGGGGTTCTATTCCACCAGCAGTCACATTCTGAAGTGTCCCTGGGCAAGACACTGAACCCCTCATTGCCTCCGATGTGTGTCCCATCAGTGTATGAATGTGATCTAAAGCATTGATTAGTCTTCAATCTAGTAAAGTTCTGTATGAATGGGTAAATGAGGGCACAGGTTGTGAATGTAAAGTGCTTTGAGTATCTTGATAAAATACAAAGGTGCTATATAAGTACAGTCCATTTACCATTATTTTCCACCATCCTACCATCACTTGTGAACAAGACTCCTAGATACTTGACCTCCTTTGACTGAGGCAAAGATTTCCCCTCACCCTGGATCATTCTACATTTTTACTGATGATAACCAGAACCTCAGATTTAGAGGAATATTGGCAACTTAACACGATGAAAGTATTTTTGCACTCCCAAATCCTGGGGGCTATGTTGTCTGGGGCATCAGGCGAGGGATCTTTCTTTGAACAAACTGGAGAACTTAACAAAAGAAGATCACAGAAAATGGTTTATCTTGCCTTAGATAGAAATACTGGAACACCCTCTTGCAGTCTTGACTAGGAATAACTTGTTGGTGATTGCTTGGTGTTTGTTCCTTAGTTCCTGGGTCTTGGTTGGGCCAAGCTGGAAAACGTTGCTGTCTTTATGGCCCATCACCAGCAGGGAGAGTAATTTAGGTTGGCTGCTTTGTGAGGCAGAAGTCATCTTGGGAATCCTCATTTCTGGCATCATGTACAGACTAGGGCATTAACAGAGTACTCGAGTAATCTACACATCGATTGCTAGGACATCTATCGAGGTTAAAAATGTAACGTCGAGTATCCGTAGTGACATCATTTTATGTGACCACCATATGACCGTAGGGGGTGGTGTTTCACTGTTGCAGGTCACAGAGTATGGTGTAACACCGGGTCCAATCCACCGAACCAGAACCAGCTTCCTCTGACCTTGTTTCACAAACAAAAAGCAAAAAATATTAATCTCTAAACCTATAAAAATAATCTATAAATATATTAATCTCTAAAACTAAACTTAATGCACACCACAGCTGGCGGTGGTGCGGGGTGGTCGACCCCCCCCCCCCCACTGTTTTAAGTTTCGTTTTTGACGTGCTGCATGTTTCTTCACGTTTGCAGTTTAATAATAATAACTAATAGTTTAGTTTTTTCTGTGACTTTTTTGCAGTATGATAAATGGTAGGAGCATAATATATGCTCCCGATGTTTTGTTGGTCTTTTTTTTTTGTAAATAATTACCTTTTGTTGCAGTTTTATTTATTTATTTATTTATTTTTGTATCTTGAGATCTATGACGTCATCAACTACTCTAGTTCTACTCGGGTTTTATTATGTTAATGTCGAGTTTAAAAAGTATATACTCGTTCAACCCCTAATACAGACTTGTCTTTTTATATTAAACATATTTTCGGGTCTGCTTAGTTCAAGGCTATTCAACAAAACTGCTCAGGGGGCCACAGTCTCTGAAAGCCAACAGCTGGGGGGCCGGACTTCCAGCGATTAAAGTCATTATATGAATAAACCAAGTTTTACAATGATCTATTAATTTTTCAATGTGTTTGTTTTATTGCACTGAGTCATAAATGCAATAAGCAGAACCCCACCCCCCCCAAAAAACAAACAAACAAACAAACAAAAAAAACAACAAATATATATATAGCAGTGCGGCTAATTTATCGGCCCCTATTTCCTTAATTTTGGGAAATCACAAATCGGCTGATACTTGCATGAGAAACTGATTTTACTGATTTTTTTGTTTGTTTTGTTTGTTTTAACAATTTTTTTTTAACTTCATTTATATGTCAGAGCAATATCTCATGGCCATTTAAAACAAGTTTGTACTGTATCTAGGGTATTGTTATATATATATATATATATATATATATATAAAGTTGCCCAAAGTGAACGTTAATTTTCAGGTGGAAAACTCAATAATTCAGCTGCATTAATAACTGTTCTGTGCCTGAAAGAAAGATATTTACCTCCAAGTGCTCCAGCTGTGTTGTCCATTAGCCAACCTTGCAGATATTTTTGTCTGAAGCTATGTGCTGGAAAGAGTTTGTATCTCGGCTTGTGCTCTTTGTGTTAAATTTCAACATTTCTTCAAACTGTTCACAAACTAGTACTCTTCTTTACATTTTTGTTTGGCAATATATTTGGTGTTGAAATGCTCCTGTGTACTGTACATCTGATTCTGGTTTCCCACACTGCAATGTCTGCTCAGCCAAGTGCCACATGACAACAGTGTGATGGGCTGATTACACATAATTACCTCATGATGTTTGTTGGGGAATAGGGCTGTGCGTGTTCATGTTCATGCTTAAAGCGTGCATTTGTGACAAGCACCGTTCATCAGTCACCATATTTGTTTTGTCACACCACACCTGTCCCGGCTACGCACCATAATCTGGCTAGATAAATCACATTATGGTTTGTCGACGCAACTGAGCACCGCACCGCCACAGCCCCACCGATGAAGCCAAGCCTCAGTAATAAGTTTCAATCAAGCTGAGATGATGGCACTTTGGTTCAGTGTATTGGCGGAGTGCCTTTTCTCCCTTTTTCTTGTTTTTGGTGTTTTTTTTTTTTTTTCAAAGCCGAGATGGTGATTCTTCTTCATTAAAACTCAAATCAACAGATAAGTGCTATTCTGCAAGGAGAACGTGTACAGTTGGATCAATGGGCTACTGGCTCAGTGAATTCTAATGCCTATACGTGACAGTATCATGTTTAAAGACAATTTTCAGATGTAAAATTGGTCAAATGGGAACAGCATGTAAAATGTTTAATTCATTTCTCTACTCCTATCTTGAACTTGCATTTTCATTTATGCAAATGTATGTAACCAATTGGCCTGGACTGTTGAATAAAAATACACTAAATGCACCTTCTTTCATATATGTCTACCCTCTTTTCCAGTTATACCCTGAGACAGGACCTCGTCAAGGGGGAACCAGGGTGACCATCTTGGGGGAAAACCTGGGTCTGCAATTTAGAGACATTCAGATGGGTGTCAGGCTGGGGAAGGTGCCCTGTGTGCCTGTTGAGGAAGAGTATGTTAGCGCTGAACGGTAAGTCAACAAACAGAGGATACACATTCCAGCATGATCAAAAGTATGCTTAAATGGTTTAAAAAAAGACCAGACACTGATTTGAATACATCCCTCTCCTTGACCAGTAAAACTCGAGAAACATATTTCCCTGTAAGTGCTGCGTCACTCAGCAACTGAATAAAAGTGACCTCAGTTTATGTGTTTCTCAGTGGATTCCCTTTTCTTGCTCTGTTCTATTACTTGCTACATATGCTCTTTCCTTTATTTTCCTCAACCTTCTGTCCTGACATTTACTCCTCTGCTGGGTCCTGCACGGCTGAGGAATTGAGTTCACGCAGATCAAACAATCTCCCTGAAGTGCAGTTAGTTGGGAAATGATGCATGTTGAGATAGAGGGCATCTCTATTCAAAAATTGCATGCACATTTGTCATTCTGTACATTATTCTTGTCACCCCGGGACAATTTCCTAGCTGAAATCTTGCATTATTCTTTTATTTTCTTCACCACTAAAGTACCTTCTTTTGAGAGGTACTTTGGTATAGTGTGGTATGCAAAGCCTACTGTGGTTGTCTGACTCATTAATTTTGTCATTGTATGTTTAATGCTGGAATGGTAAGGGTTTTGTATATGCAGCCCTATGCTTTTATTATTTGAATTGCACACACTTGTGTTTTCAGCAACTTTCAAACTATCTGTTTTACAGAATTGTGTGTCTGCTGAATGATGCTACTGGCTACAGAGTTCAAGAAGCTCAGGTGGAGGTGTGTGTGAGAGACTGTGTCAATGACTATAGAGCCCTATCACCACGACCATTCACCTTTGTGGTAAGGAAACGACGAGGGAAAATGTTAATCAGACTTTTGGAATTTTTAAGAAGGTGTTCAGTCAAAACTCTGTTGAATTAAGTAACTTACTAGTGATTTTATGAGTAACAATTAGAGCCCAACTGATATATCGGCCCTACCGATATATCTGTCGGGTTCAAGTAACAATACCCCTAAATTATTCTTATAACCAGTTATATATTCATAATTATTTACATTTTAAAGTTAGTTATTTTAAATGTAAAATTAGACTAAACAAATGTTTTTGTGTTGTCTTGCAGACTCCATACTTCACCCGTATCCAGCCATCTCAGGGACCCATTTCGGGCGGCACTCGAGTCACCATTGAAGGAAGCTATCTTAACGCAGGCAGCTACGTGTCTGTCAGCATTGGACCACAACTCTGCCACTTTAAAAGGTAAGATATATATATATATAGGTTTATTTAGCAATATAATTAAAATGATTTATTGTGGACACTCAGACACCATCTAGGAAACACATGGGGCACTTAACAATTCTAAGAAAAGTGAAAATAATGGCAGTGAATACTAGAAATTATATTTTAAATTATATGCATAAACAAAAATTAATATTTAAAGATAGGTCTGCATGTTAATTTGAAACATTATTATCATAAAGGTATTGCACACACATGTAAGCATGTAATCGGTGTATCAGGTTGGGTTTGTGTGTGTGAGAGAGACGATGACTTGGTAAGAAGTGATGCTTTTGCCTGTTGCCGTCATGACACACAGGATCCCTTTGTGTGAACTCACAAGCTTCCCCCTAATCTAGTTCATGGGGGAAAAAAAAAAAAAAAAAAAAAAAATCCAAACTATCACCACAGTTGCTTGCATGTCAAATTCTGGATTAGCGCCCCGTAGCTAATCTCCATTGAAGCCACTGTATACTAGCTTTGATGTCACAGCAGTCATTTCTGTGCAGCAGCCTCCTCACAGTAATCCCACAGACTCCTCTTCACAACAACTGCTCCCTCATCTCAACTCTGTCTTTATCTGTCACACCCTAACTGTGCCACTGTGTTTGTGGCATCTTGTGAAGATTGCTGGGACATGTTTTCTTGTTTGTCTTTTTTTTTTTTTTTTTTTTACTGAATGGGGTTGCTATGGTTACGGACTAAGGAACATGCAAGTGTGCATAATGGAAAATCTCACACACTTTCTTCTATCTGTGCTGCCCCACTATGCAGAGGTAAAATAGTATACGAAAGCGCGCATACACACCTTAACACATCTACAGTGTATATGGAGCTTACACATACATCGCTTCTATGAAATCTTGACCCAGAAAAGCAGTCACAACTCAACTGTGCTAAATACATATTAGATAATGTTGCTTCCAAAGACTTTACTCAAGACTGCAAATCAAACTCTTATTTTGCCTGTGGGACATGTATTGAGACGAACTCACACAAAATCTCTCTGCATCACTTCCCGAGTGGCTTTTCTTGTCAGTGCACCAATAATGCTGGGTATGAATGTAATTAAACATGACTTAAGACCTGATTTTTGTTTTTCCATCCCTTATCATATTTCTACAAAAGGATAAAATACATAAAAATATGTCTCTGTTTTATCTAAAAGCACAATCTGAAGGGGGGACATGTTAGTTTTATATTATTTTTGTTTTTATCCTGAAGTGACATATTTTCTGTTTAAAGTTTCACTGCACACCCGTATCCATCATTTTATTGAAAATATAACAACATTCTTGTAGCTTTTAAGTTGGGAAGTGGTGGCGCAGAGGTTGGAGAAGGTGGGCCTGTGAAGGAAGATTGCCGGTTCAATTCCCCTGATCGACAACATCAAAATGTGGGTGGGAAAGCTCTGCCTTCATCTTCATTTTCCCCACTCTGGGCCCTTGAGCAAGGCCTTTAACCAACACCATTTGCTCCCCTGGGTGCCCTAGTCAGCATCTCCCTACTCCACACAGAGGGCTGTGGTAGCTCGGTGGTCTATGGTTGTGTGACGTCAGGAAGGGCATCCAGTGTAAAAACAATTGCCACGTCTTCGTGCGAGTTGAAGAAGGGAGCAGGTGTAAGAAGAAGAAAAAAAAGCTTTTATTTAAACTATATTTATCCGTAGCATTAACCTCCTATCCGAGTCTAGATATCTAAGCTCAATTAAGTGCATCGTTTAGTGAAACGTGGTATAAAACCACAGGTGGTCTGGTTCATGCAAAGATCTGACCGCAGCCAAGAGGGCATGCAGTCCACGCAGCATGGACTCATTTTTGGTGGGGAAAAATTCCCCCCATTAGGTTGAAAAGTTGGCAAGCATGTATCTTTTAGAGTGTAAATACTGCTGCGTTTGTTTACAACTCCAGCAGCCTCGACTTAGTTGTTTACGTGCCGAGAACTGATCAAAATGCAGGCAGAAACTGAATGGAATAAACACTCTATAATACCAGGGGAAATTCAAACACTTATGAAACAGATGTTGAAATCTAGATACTTTACAGTATATGCAGACTTATCACTTTTGCTGTGTTTATACCTCCATCCACCCATTCTGTGAGCATAACTTTAAAAACAAGTGAAGTATCAACTTCCTTTTTGCTGTGCGGCTGCATCTGGGCGTAAGAAAAGTTACTTTTGAAAATTTGGTTGCCACTTCAAAATCTAAGATGGCCACCGCCATATACTGTATATAAATGTAAACCGACTACCTACATAATTTAGTGAATCTTTGCTGTCTAGTTTTTATTTAGCTTAAAAGTTGTTTCCTCAAATGATTGGGGTGGCCCTTGGGGTGGCCCAAGAATGACCACTGGCTACCTCCTGGCTCCGCCACTGATCCCGTCCTGGATAAAATATCTTCCTCCACTCGCCAGGATCTGTCACTCTGCGCCGACTCAGACAAACAAACAAAAAACTGCCTCTCACTGTGTAACTCCTACCAACTTGAATATCTTGCACCAAATATGTTAAGGTTCACTTTCATTCCCTGTTCAGTTCCAGTCTGCAAAAACACTCAATATACCACATGTTCAATTAGTTTTTGTTTTTTATTTGCAAGTAACCTCCTGTTTTTATTTAAAATGCACGCCTTACTGGACATTTTGTGTCTGTATTTGATTTCAAACGTAGTTTCCTGCTCTTTAGAAAGTCCTTTTGATTTGTTTTTAACCATCGGTGTATACTGGGTATAAAATTGCTTCCCCCCCCGCCTTTTTTTTTTCTTTTTTTTTGCCCTTTCAGGAGAAATGCACGCGAGATAGTGTGTGATACACCAGCTGGACTTGCACCGGGAAGTTCATCCGTCTTGGTGGACATTGATGATGCTGAGCTCAGGAACCCAGAAGTCAAGTTTAACTACACTGAAGATCCCACTGTCCTGAAAATAGAACCTGACTGGAGCATTGCCAGGTAAAGCCCTGTGTTGTGTGCTATGCCCGATTACGTTTTTATTTATTTATTTATCAATATGAGTTCATTTAGCTTATGAATGAGGCAGCCAAGTAAGATATTTTAAAGAAATATGTTTGATGTGCGGTATGAATAAATCTCTGCTCAGAAATCAATTCAAGCAGGTCTTGCAGGGACAAGAGATGTACCAAAAAAGCACTGGAGCATCAATCTTGTCTTCAACTCAATTTGAGAAAGAATTCAGGATAAGTGCAGGCTGAATATTCTCAGAATCTAGTGGTTTTAAGGTTTTTGGACTCTGCGTTTTTTTTTCGTTATGCAGAGTAAATTAGAGGTAGCAATCTGAGATGAATTAACTGCTGCATGAGAGCCGTGGCAGCTTGTTTGGATGGAAGTAAACTGATAGTATCTCCAGAGGGTTTTCATTTGACTCAGATAAGACGTTTTTTTTATGGGAGGAAATCAACAAGAGCAGCTGCTTGGTTCATCCAAAAATGGGGTATGTAAGATGATACACCTCCTGGAATGTTAGAACCTATTAGTTGATTTAAGAGCTTGTTAATTATTCTCAGCCAATTGTCTGTGGGAACCAGTTGTTTTGCAAGAGATAATGCATCTGGTCTTTGATATTTAGCACGTGGTAGTCTATCACGCAGCACTGTACATCACCAGGTAAATAAATAAAAAAAAACTTCTAACTACTCTGCAATAAACGTGACATCAAGATCAACAGAGAATACACATTTAAGCAGTTTCCCATTAAAGTAGATTTGCTGTCAGGGAGGGCAGGCACACACTCATACTGGCCTTTATAATGAATACTCACTTTAATGTGGAATATCTTGGGCTTTTTTTAGGAAAGGAGATTTACTTCAATAATTAATCAGTAATGTAATAATATATATGTATGGAGATCACAAGTTTTTTTTTTTTTGTTGTTATTCTTTCTACCTTGCTGTTACATTTTTTTTTTAATTCAAACAACTTCATCTTGACTCATGTTAGCTACTGATTTTTTGGGGGTTTGTTTCTAAAAAGGTAAATGGTAACTGGACTGTACAAATGTACTTATATACGCTTTTCTGTTTTATTAAGATACTCAAAGTTCTTTACAACACAATTTGTGCCCTCATTTACCCATTCACACAGCACACTACTAGATCTCTACAAAGATAATCTGAATGTGTAGAGACTAATCAGTGCTTTATCACATTCATACACCGATGGGACACACATCAGAGGCAATGAGGGGTTCAGTGTCTTGCCCAGGTACACTTCAACATGTGACTCCTGGTGGAATCAAACCCCCAACTCTCCCATTAGAGGGCGACTGCTCTAACCACTCAGGTACAGCTGCCTTTGAGTTAGGGCTGGACAATATGGCCAAAACTTTTATCACAATACATTTCTTAATTTCGGTCAATATCGATATAATTCCGATATCGATATAAGCAATAGAAGAGCCTCAGAAAAACTGGACAAACTGGACAAATAAATTAATGTTCACCTTTTATTTGTATTTAACCTTCAAAGAAATTTGAAATCGCCTTCAAATGTGCATAAAACTCTCATCTTTGTCAATTGTAATAGTTTTAACTTTAAACAACAACATGGCCACAACCCAGGCAGCAAACGTTTGTGTTTGCCGCATGTGATTCTCTTTTGATACAGCTGGGGGGGGGGGGGGGGGGGGGGTTGTTTCAGGGACACGTTGGCTCAAACTTTTATTGTTCTTCATCTTCTGACTCTCGGCATATTCTATCGAGTAGGAAACGTGGAACAAGTTCGATGTGTTCCCACCGCTTGAAGAAACGACTCTCCGTCACATTTTGCAGCACACTGACTGAAACCTGCAGTTTATCGGATCTTAGAAAGCCGAACCGCTTCCACACCGACAAACTAGTCTTTCCTCTCTTATCAGTTACGTCATCTGCCTTCTCTTCACTTGTGAAAGCTTGTTCCGTCACATTCTGACGGTCGTGGGCACTAATTTTGGAGAGCAAACTTACCGTGCGTTGGAGCTTAACCTAGCCTGCTACCGCTGGCTCCTTCTGGACTCGAGTTCTGTGTGTGGTGTACGTCATCACGCACTTACGTAGCTGTTTCGCAGCTTTTTCTGTTCGGATGGAAGTGGCCGCTTCAACCCGAACAGAAGAAGAAATGCTTCAGTGAAATATTAAAAATGTGCTTAAAACTCACATCACCGTTATTGAATAAAAGTATATTGTGATATATATTGATATTGAATTATTGTCCAGCCCTATCTTCGGTACCATGGTACCAGTTACCATGAGAACCATGAGGTGCCATTTGAGGCTGAGGTGGTGTAGTGATAGGGCAGCCAACTTGAGACCAGAAAGTTGCAGGCCCAACTCCCCACCATTCCCACATTTTTTTGGTGTCCTTGAGTAAGACACCCAATCCCTAACTGCTCCCCGGGTGCCCACACACTTGCCCACTGCTCCACCCGGGTGTATCTCACATGTGATGGGTTAAATGCAGAGAACCCATGTCGTCATTGTATGGGGACATTAAATGATGACAACACATATCAATTACTTCTTTATTGAGATTAATGGCTCTATATTTTCTATTTGAAGATCTTTTATTGGTTAAAAAACCACCTATAATGATCTGGCATTGGTAGAATAGTCTAAGAAGGTTAGACATGAGCAAGGCAGTTTTGATGTTATTTTACTGTCAAGCAGAAATACAGCAACAATAAAAAGCAACTGCATCCTATAGAACACATGCTGAATAGCCTTTTTTTTTGTATGGTTAGTCACAACGTTTTGTTTTCAGTCATTAAACATTTATAGACATTTTCAAATTGACAGTATTACCCTTTCCATGACTCGTTCTTTATCTCCCTGAGATCCGATGTCCCTTTAGGTACTGCTCAGCACATTGTGGAAAGATGCAGAGCTTGTTAGAGGAAAGTGTTGATGCCAGGTTCTCTTTGCCCAGTAGGACTGACCGAGAAGCAGATGAGGCCCGATCTTTTCTCTGACCACCAACTGAGTTTGTGCGGGGGTGCGAGAGGGAGAGGGGGGAGACGGAGTGAGATACAAGGGAAAAGAGAGAGAAAAGAAGCTAAAAGCTGAGGTTTTAGTTTTTACTTCAGGATGCTCAAGATATGTGATCCACAGACAAAAAGACTTGCCTGCAAACATATGCACATCCTCTCTGATGTTTGACCTCGGAGTCTTCTTCTATCATGTCCAAAAAAATAAAACGTATAAAATGGACTGCTTCCAACAAAGATTGGGATTTAGCTCATGCATTTTAGCCAGTGTTCTGAATTGTATTTGGCCTAACAGGAATAAAAAGAGATGGGATATATATCTCCTATCTGCATACGGTGTGTCTGTGTAAATACTACGACTTTGTTCTCATACAACTTTATTCTCGTAATACTGCATCTTTATCCTTGCAATATTGTATTTTTTTCTTACTAAGACTCTGTCGTAATTATTACACAATTTTTGAAAACGACTTTTCAGTTAGACAGTCTAAAAGTCTAGCTGTTCATTCTTTGACTACAATCATTGTTTACTAGATATGTACTAGCTACACATTCATGTCCTTTCTATGACATTGTATTGTCCACAATAGCTACATGGGACTTACAATCGTTCTAAGGTTAATGGATGAAGAATCTAACAGCTCACCAAGTCTAGCTATCCATACACAATGTTTAAATATTCCTAAACTATATATTAATTAGAAATTAACTTGTTAATAGTTCAAGTAGTTGTAACAGTTTTTTTTTTTTTTTTTTTTTGCTCCAGTTCTTTATCAGTGATTTATTTATTTATTTTAAGAATAATGATTAATGATTCTGGTAAACAAAAAATGTACAGAGGGTGTCTCATGCTGCTGGACTTTTGATAATAGATTATAAAAAATAATAAGTCATTACTATTTAATAAGATATAAATGTCTTGTTTGTTTGTTTTTTTGCTGTGATTATCATTGCAGTCCACAAAAATTGTGCTTCTTACATTGCTATAGTAAGATTTAATGAATAACAAAACCATGCCTTTTGTTTCTCTGAACACAATTTAGTTTTGATTTCAGGCTGTCAAAAATTCAGCTGCACTGTAGATTATTAAAAACAATGTTTTTGTTGTTTTTTTATATTTGTGCCTACAATTTTCTCTACCAACCTTACTGCTGTTTACACATACGAGCATCTGCAACTTAAATGGATTTATGTTTATAAGTTGGCAGCGGTTGCAATAATTTAGTGGATATTCATTTATTTCAGCTCAAAAGTTTATTTGAAAATATTCTAAAATTTTACCTTTTTATTTGATGAAAAGAAAAGAAAAAGGTGAAAGGGAGTAAGGTTTAAAACAACAACAACACACTATCAGTGTTGGGATTTCCCTCACTAACTCCTGGAGTTTACTCTGATTGTTTTGTCTGTTCCCTGAAGCGTGCACGTAAGCTAAGGAGACTCACTTAGACAAAGAATGAAGCAACAGGGACAATGGGACTCACTGCAAATATCCATCAACCTGGTGAGGAAAGGAGAGGATTGGAAAGCAGCTAGAGGACAGCGATGGTTTTACCTACGAGCAGTCTGTCAACTTCCATGATGCAACCATGCAGCTATTTTGTTAGAAAATAGAGTAGTTTAAATGTGGTATTGACTTGAATTGATCTTAGTCTATGTAAATAAAACAAGAATTACAATGATCTGTTACCTTTGTAATTTGTTCATTTTGTTGCATCGAATCATAAGGGAGTGGTGGCGCAGAGGTTAGAGAAGGTGAGCTTGTGATCCGAAAATCGCTGGTTCAACTCCCGGTACCAAAAAACATCAAAATGTTCAACCTTTATTTATACAGGTTAATCCCATTGAGCCTCAGGGACTCATTTACAAGAGAGACCTGATTTATTTAACAAAAAGTGATGACAACAGTGGATAACATCGACAACAATAGACGATCATAAGAGGCATACATATTTTTGTTATATATATATAACAAAAAAAATCGAAATTGAAAAAAAAAAAAAATATATATATATATATATATATATTATATTATTTTTTTTTCTTAACAAATTAAAATAAAATGGCAACCAAAAGGACAGTCAAAAGGAAAAAGTAGTGGAAAAAAAACCTGCTAGATTATAAAGCAATGTAGAAAACTAAAAACAGGAACATGTCTGCATTGGTTTTTGGCAGGAACTTAACAGATGTTTGAAGCCACTTAGATAGGTCAAGGTCGAGAGATTCAAAATGTGGGTGGGATAGGTGAAGCATCCACACCTGCCTTCACCCTCATTTTCCCCACTCTGGTTCTTTGATCAAGGCCCTTGACCCCCACCTTCTGCTCCCCTGGGTGCCCAAGATGGCAGCTCTCTGCTCCACACTGGTGGCTCGGTGGTCTGTGGTTGTGTCAGGTAGGGCATCCGGCGTAAAAATAATTGCCAAGTCATTGTGTGATTTAGTTCACTGTGGCGACCCCGAAAGAAGGGAGAAGCTGAAAGAAAAAAAAAAAATTAAAGTTGCATCGAGTCATAAATGCAATAAACAGAACCCAAACCCAGAACATTATTTATTTATTTATTTATTTTATTAACTCATTGGTGGGCCAGACTGAAGTCACCAAAGTGACCAAGGGGCTCGTGGCCCGCCAATTGAGTAGCCCTGTTTTAAAGTGTTTAGCTTATTTTTTTTTTTTAAATAAAAAATAATTTCACTAATATTAGTTTTAAGCTGTTCAACAAATGCACATGTGTTCATCTCACTTAAATTTTCTAAATCTTTTTTTAAGCTAATTTTATTTTTGCAGACTACAAGGCTGCAGCAGCAGTGATCAGAATATGAGCTAAAGCAGAATTTATTTTAAATCATGTGTCGACAGAAACTGAGAGTTGGCTGTCCACAACTGAGGCAAAACGTATATGTCCATAAACTCTGCAATCCTATTATAAAAGTTATTGTGTCCTAAACAATAAACAGGGTCAATTTTCCCTGGATAAAAATGGGCATCCTGCCAAGACGCTAAAAAAAATAGCTTTGAGAAGAAAAGTCAGACTTGATGTATTTTATCTACCGACACTGAGAGACACTGCACCTACCATTATCATTCCCTCCTGTCAAACCAGTGCAGTTCCATTTACTGCTATTCTAAACCTTGTTGGACGAGGGGGGGGAGATGAATGTGGAGCGTAAGCCAGTCAGACTCGGTCTACGATATTAAGAGCTTCTGTCTCTCCTTCCTCTCAAATCATTTCCTCTGCTGTTGGTGCTTGTTCACCAAGTCATTTAGGGTAAGTGTCAGATTAACGCTGACTAAGAGAAAAGAGCTGAATATCACAGAAGTCAGTAGTGATGCACTGGAAGAACGTACTCTGCTGTTCGTGTACGGAGGAGGGTCGGCTGAATGTTGTCTTAGCGATTGGCATTGTGTCGTAGTTGAACTGACATTCCCGCCTGTATCGTCTTAATAATGGCCCCTTCAGGGATTCCTGGTCTTTAATTTTATCAGCTATCCAGGCATTATTTGGAACGTGGACCAATCTATGCATCATTCCAATAGGATTTGATTGGAGAAGAATCAAAAATGAGTGTCAGCTGCAGCTGTCTCATCATAATATAACATTTAAAGGCCGAGGGGACACTGGCACCGTCACGTTTAGCTGATAAAGCTGAATGTCCAAAGGAATGTTTATGTGACAGATCTATTGCATTTACATGAACGGAGCACAAGCAGACTCTGGCTTTCTGAAAACCTGCCATGATATCCTGAAACTAAACCACAGGGCCGGTGGGGGAGGGGGGGTGGCAAGTGATTAACAGGACATTACATATTTTAGTTGATGTTAGGGTTTCTTTACATGGTGTGTAGGTAATTCTGAACTTATTGATAAATGATATATGAAAATTACACTTTTGGACAGCTACACACAAATCCAGAGTACAGTACATATAAAGGCCAGAACTCAAAGGCAAAACAGAAGCTAAAGATAACAAAGCATCCATCCATTATCTTTTACCTGCTTCTTCCCTGACAAGTTAGAGTTACCAGTCAGCCGAACATGCATGTTTTTGGTATGTGGGAGGAAACCGGAACTGAATTATTATTATTATTATTATTATTATTATTATTATTATTATCACAAGTAATATTATTGTTATTATTATTAGTAGTTGTTGTTGTTGTTGTTGTTGTTGTTGTTGTTGTGGTAGTAGTGGTAGTGGTAATAGCAGTAGTGGTAATGGCACTGGTAATAGTGGTACTGGTAATAGTAGTAGTGGTAGTGGTAAGGGTAGTGGTGGTAGTGGCACTGGTAGTAGTGGTAGTGGCACTGGTAGTAGTGGTACTGGTACTGGTAGTAGTGGTAGTAGGGGTACTGGTAATAGTAGTAGTGGTAGTGGCACTGGTAGTAGTGGTAGTGGTAATGGTAGTGGTGGTAGTGGTACTGGTAGTAGTGGTAATAGTAGTAGTGGTACTGGTAGTGGTGGTAGTGGT